AGCCGGACACACACACACACACGCACGCACGCACACACACACACACACACACACACACACACACACACACACACACACACACACGCTGTGTGGCTAAATGCGGCTGCTGTTTTCAGAGCTGTCAGAGTAATCTGTCCACCTGTCCTCTCCCTGTCCGGTACCGGACCGTTCTGAGTAACTGGACCTTCAATTTGTCTCTGACATCAGGAACGGATCAGAACTCCGGATCCGGTTCTGACAGAAAGCTGATTCTGATGGAGTGACCTCATCAAGTGGGTCTGGTTCCCTCCTGCGGGGGGCGCTGCAGCGCCGCGTTTCGGACCTTCCATTCAATAAAGTTGTGAGTGGGAGGATGAACTGGATCAGAACCAATCTGAGGGAAAAAAGGCGTTACTTCAGAAACCTGAACTGGGTTCTGCTTCTGAGCTCAGGTAAGATCAGAACTGCAGCTGATCCACAACCAGCTGGACTCAGCTGGGTTGGTTCTGGTTCTGATCCGGACCGGCAGAGTGGTTCTGAGGCCACTAATAATCAGAAAAAGAAATATGCGGCCGGTTCGTCATGAATTAATAATTACTGAAAAATGAAATTTATGCCTCTGGTTCTGATCCGAACCCGTCTGGAGCAGCAGAACCAGGAGCTGCTGGAGTCTTAACAGAGATGATTCTGTTCTCCAGCTCTTCATAAATCATCATTCATATTTCACCAGCTGATCTGACTCCAGGTAACGTTTTGGAGCGCGCTCAGATCGAACACAGCCTGCTCTCACATAAACAACCGTTTCAAAGATGGCCGACGAAGAGCGAGGGGGGAGGAGGAGGAGAAGGAGGAGGAAGGTGTGCATCTTTAATGAACGGCTGCAGCAGAAAAGCTTCAGATCGGTTCTGACAAACGCTGCCAGGAGGAAGATGAGATCTGAACCTCAGACCGAACACCTGACGGTTCGATTCTGCAGAACTTCAAGACAAAATACAGAAAAATAAATTCAAGTTCCAGATGGAAATTAACTAACCTAATGTTTATTTTTAGCTTTTTTTTTATTCTATTTTTTTAACACTAATCGCATAAAAAATTGGTAGATTCTGCAGAGTTTTGTCTTATTTAATCACTTAAGCCTTTTTAATAAAAATAACATGAATACATTGAAAGATGCAAATGAGTAAATAATTCAGCTCCTTTTCTAAATAAGAAATGTTCTGTCTCCTGGTTCTGGTTCTGCTGGAGGTTTCTTCTTGTTAAAGGGAAGTTTTTCCTCTCCACTGTCGCCACATGCATCCTCATTATGAGGGCAAATTAACGACCATCTGCTGGGTTTCCTGACATGAAACCTTTTTAAACTCAACTTGACTGTAATAATTTATAGCTAGAATGGATGAAACTAAGTTTGGATCTGTCTGAATGAGGCGACATTAACTGGACACCATAAATAAAATGAATAAATTCAAATTAAACAGGGTTTAATAGACATTACCGTTTCATTTAAAACAGTTTAATTCACATATAAAAGTGACTAAACATCATCAGAAAAGCAGAAACATCTATTTTATGGTTTATTAGGAGCATTTAACCAACCAGAAAAGACAGGCTGATCCTGAGTCAGAACGCAGTCGTGTTCGGGTCAAAGGTCGGCCGCTGATGACTCACCTGCTGCAGGTCCAGTCCGCCCTGAGCCACGGAGAACAGCGGGTGAGATCCAAAGTCCGAGGCCTCAAACACCTGGAACCGGGACAGAGCAGAACCAGCGCTGCAGTCAGAGGTGCTGAAGCTGACCCGAGTTCTGCAGCAGCTTCACGCTTCTGCCGACCCATCGGAACCGGGACCGGGTCAAAGAAGTTCTACAGAACTTCAGAAACTTTCAGCTTCACATGAGACTTTCTCTGAGACGCTCAGACGGTCCAAAGTCAAGACATTCATGTTTCAGAACCGGACAAGAAGTTGGATTAAAAATCTCCTCAGCAGCGAAGAGGAAAATGCAAAATAAATAAAATCTCATCAACATTCATCCTCCTTTCATCCTCAGACATTCATTCTGAAAATGATTCATTTTGTTTCTAACTTTAGACAGAAACACTGAAAAACTTTAAAATGTTTTGATAAATTTACCACTGAATCAATAAAATAATGCAATGAAAACAGAAAGGCAACATGATGACTAATAAATGGATATTTAGGTTAAATATTAACTAATTCCATTTTATTTTTATTTCATTTGCTCAATAATAAATATGAAGTTTATGTAACAACTAAAAAATCATGAATGAAAAGGAGCAGCAGATATGTGCCCTCACATGAACACAAAATGAGCTTTTCAACAATTTAAACATATTCTACGGAGCCCCAGAAGGGCCATGGAGGATTTTCTTTTCTTTTGCGTTCAATCGCGATAACGTACCGATGAATGCAGCAGAACTGGACACTGTAAGCCTTCCTTTCCTAATTTATTTTAAATGCAAAAATAATTTAGACATCAATATTATTCCATAGACATGTTTAATTGAAATGCAACTTTTCATTGTTGCTCCTCTGATTTTATTTTCCCAAAAAATCTGTGAAAGATTTTTATGGACTTTGTACATAAATTTTAAAAAGAAGTTCAGTAAATCATCAAATATCATTTCATTTAATTTCATTATTTAATCTCTCTTTGGGGTTAATAAAGTTGTTTTGAATTAAATTTGTTGTGTTTGGTTGGTTCTGATTTTACTTCTGATGCTCAGAATCAGAACCTCTTTTGGACCCGGTTCTCCTCTGGTTTCCTCCAGCAGGAGAACCGGGTCAGACCCAGAACCCGTCAGGTTTGATCTGGAACAAACGGCTCCGAGGTCCAAACAAAGCGCGCTCCAGTCCAGCGGTCCGGACCGGAACAGACGGGTCCCAGTTGGGAAAGCCGTCCGGGTCTCAGGCCGACCCGCTGATGTCCTGCAGGTCCCCCCAACCGGACCGGCTTAATGGACCGCCAGGGAGAACCGGACCAGTTCTGCTGAAAACCTTCTGAAGCTCAGAGAACATCTCACTTTTTATTCTGTTTGATATTCAAATTGATTTCCTGTAATGTTTCAGTGTGTAACGTTTATAAAAATGTTATGTTTTTATTAAAACCGTCTCCATGGAAACAGTAAAATATAAGATAATCTGTGAAAAGATCAATGGAGGAGATTGATTTTTTCAGATTATGTGTCGCAGATGAAACTGTTTCCACATGGAGACGGTTTCAATAAAAACGTAAAAACAGTATTTTTATAAATGTTGCAGTCTGCAGCTGTAATGAAGAAGCAGAGTTTCTTCTTGTTAATGTTAATAATTAAATGTTGTTTATTTAATGTTATATTTAATGATGCTGAAGATGATTTTCTTTCTGCCAAAGCAGATCAAGTCAATGATTTAGCTGTTTTACTGACTCCATCCTATATTCAGAATATAACGGTTCTGTTTTCTACAGACGTCAACAGAAAGATGCAGATCATTTACTTTTCTCCATTTGTGGATTATCTGCCGCTGGTATTAACTTTGACTTTTCTTCTGTTGGATTTTTACATCTAAAGTTGTAAAATTGTTTAAATCAATAATCAATCAGCATTAATTATGAACTGGATCTGACTGGATGTTATTATGATCACCTGAAATGAATCTGATGTGATAATATGAATGACTGTATTGGAATAAATTTCACTGGTTGCATCTGAATTTGAACCAAACTGGATTCCAGATAAAAGGAAATAATCTGAACTAAATATTTAGAGTTGATTTAAAGAGTCATGGATCAGAACCAGACCTGAGATCTTGCAAACGAGAGGAAAAAAAAAACTAAATGAAATGCAAATCACCAGTCAAAAGGTTCTGATTTTACACCTGAAGAAATAAACCAATAAATAAATTAGAAACATGGTGAAGTATTTAATAATTTAATGTTTTCAGCAGATTCCTGAATTCATCTGAAAGTTGACTGAACATTTTTTGATCCAGAAGCAGAAACAGAAAAAGCCTCGTTTTCGTCCTCACCTGGTTTCCTGCCAGCAGCACCGTTCCTGGACTTGGACTAGGCCGGTATGGAATGGTTGCTCCTTTCGGTGGAGACTGCAGAGGGAAACAAACAGATGAGCAGAAACTTCATTAAACACGTGGAAACATCCAGACACCAGTTTCTATTTATACTTCAGTATTAAAGCAGGAAGTGTTTGTTTCTGCAGATTCTGCTACATGTGACCCAGTTTTGGTTAAAAAGCACCAGAAGCTCCTCCTGCTCCGTGTTTCTGTCTGCTTTGTTTGGCTCAGATCCATTTCTTTCCTTTCTGGCCTGAAGCTGAGGATCTGGATCTGAAGCAGAACCGGAGCTGCAGCTCAGCACCGGCGGCTCAAATAAAACCTCTCTGCTGGTTTTACCCACATCATCACTTCCAACGCCGACACAACGCGATTCTCTCCAAAACAATCAAAGACTTGATTCAGCTGATTAAACTTTGTTTTCTCTGTCTGATGAACATCTGAGAAACATCTGGCAGCTGCAGACGTTTCTTGCTGCAAAGCGTCATAATAACCGATCCCAAAGTGACTCACTGACTGAATCAAGACGAACTTTGACCCTGAAGGTTCAGCAGCTCACTGAGTTCTGGAGCTGAAACTCTGTCAGCCGATCAGGGCCAGAAAACGAGTCGACAGAGATCTAACGCACTCCACACCGAAGCAGTGCAGGTGAGACTGATCAAGATTTAAGACTTGACTGTTTTTTATTAATTGGCATGAAAATGTTTCAGGTTGTATTAGATCTGGAAGTGGAAGATGTACGGAAAGCCAGAAGGGACAAAAGTCAAGCAGTTTTTAATACCTAGCAAAGCAATAATCAATACCTAATGAGCCACCAAACACAAAATAAAATGCTTAACCAGTGGAAGGAGTTCAACGTTTTATATGTTGTTACTTTGAGAGAATACATTCAGCTCAAACAAGCAACACAAGAGAAACTTTCAGCTTTAGGCTTCAGGGTTTCTGTTCATCGGCTTCCTGTTAGAATCCTTCTCACATTAAATCCCATAATAATCTAAATCCATCTGATTGGTTCTAATTAAACTGAGTTAAATTACAGTTAATTACTGGCTGGGCGGCAGAACTGTTGCTGGACTGCAGGAAGCTCAGATTTACTCATATTTCCATCTATGAATCAGAACAAACTTAGCATTTAACGTGTCAGAGCCTAAAAAGCAGGATTTATGGCACTGTTAGAGCTCCTTAATTTGAGCAGTTGTTGGAACATTCAGCAGATAAAGGAGATTCATATGCAGAAGACAGCAAAGTGTTTTAATACTTCATTTAAAGCAGCTCTTTATCGGTTCTCCTCTTTTTCCTGGCACTGACAGTTTGTGTTGAGTTTTAATAAACGTTCAGATTTTAAGGTCTGAGTGGAGCTGAGGGTTTTAAATGTCGCTCCTGTTTAGTTTCTGTGGAACTGCAGAGTCTAAAACAAACGTCTTGGTATCGATCGGTGATTCTGTTCACGTCGTCAATGAGCAAAGACTTCCTGCTGGCAGCTTGAGCCAACAAACCACATCCAGACGACCGGCAGGTCTGGAGATTCACCAGCTTCAGGAGGACAAAATCCAGACTTCATGTCATTTAAAACACCATAACTAAAAACACTTTGATTCAGAGTCAATAAGATGTGATGAGTTTGTGAAGGAAATATGGTTAAAACATGATATGGGATATTAATAGAAATAGAGATTTCTTTATTTTCCTGCAACACCAACAAAGTGAAAGGAAATCACACAAAAATGAAATATAAAATACATAAAATCATAATAAAGAATAAAATATTGTACAGTAAGGGAAACATTTCAACATCAATACTGTTATTAAAGATAGCACACTTCTGAATGTGGAGCTGAATGGGTTGAAATAAAAAAGAACATCTAATGACCCGCAGGTTCCAATTCTGCAGATTTATATACTAAACTATGCATTTTAATAACAAGTTTCTATTTTTCTGTCACAGAAAGCAGACAGTCATCGGCTAAAATAAACAAGAAGAGGCAGAACTTAGTTTCCTCAGATCTGCAATAAACTCCTTTAAATCTGAGCAAAGATTCACTGCAGATGATCCAAAACAGCCAAAACTCTTGTCTTTATCTGCTCACATTTTGTCATTTCAACATTTTTCCTGTTTATGTGACAATTTCTCCTGTTTTTATCCTTTTATCTGATTCTTTTTGATGTTTTGGCTGTAAAAATAATCCTGTCCTTTTTTTGTTCTCTGCAGATTTTCTGACAATCTGAAGGCAGATTAATCATTTTCAACTTCTTCCAAACTGAGGAACGTTGTTTCTAATGATGAACATTTTAGTTCCTGCTGGTTTTTGGCATCATGACTCGACTCCAAATCCAGTTTAAAAATCAGTTTTACTGCTTTTAAAATCTCAGAATTATGTTAAAACGTGTTTCAGTCAGAAATGCAGGAATAAATGAATAATAGTTAAACAAAATTTTATTTCAGTTTATTCAGAATCAACTGAAGGAGAAACCAGAGAATAATCAATTTTAGTTTTGCTGTCTTTAGACCGGAGAACAAAAATCATAATTGAAGCTGATTGCTATGGAAGCATTTAACTGCCAGAACTCAGACATGAACTCATGAGAAGAATCTTTTTAGAACAAGAAACTTTTACATTACAAGATGCAAAACCCATTAAAATGAAGAAGTTTCTTGTTATAATGAGATCCTTGATAAAAGGCACGACTAGCTTTTTAAAACTTTTCATCTGTTCTGTTTCCTGTTTCTTCCAGATGATATTCAATTGTTGATGATTTACTTCTACAACCTTTATTATTTATAAGAGAAAATGTTTTAGTTTTAATGAGATATAAATCTCATTACAATGAGTTTTCAAAATTTTGTTAAAATCAGAAATGTTTTGTGTTGAGTTCTGCTCCTGAATTTAATTCTAAGCTCTGGCAGTAAAAGGCTTCCGTAGATTTCTTTAGTTGCTTACCCTTCAAACCAGGAAATGACATTAAAATGTTTCTTCCTGGGCTGAAAATCGCACCAATAGCGTTCCGTATCTAAGAGGGAGAACTGAAGGGATGAAAGCAGAGACGGCTTTTAGGAAGAATCGAATTCAGCTGAGCTCAGCGTTTTTCTTCCGTCTCTCCTCCCAGATCCCGACGCTGGGAATACCAATGAGCTTCCGGAGACTTTTCCCTGTTTCCAGCTGAAAGCTGTGAGATGAAACTCAGAGTTTCAGCGTTTCTCTCCTGCAGAAGCTCCTGAACCTGCAGCTGCGTGTTGTAATGAGCTGCAGCTCGGCGCTCAGCTGTCAGCTCTGAGGTTTCTGCTTCCTCACTGTTATTTTTGACCACAAAAAGCCACCGTAGCTGACCTGCGCCGCAGCAAACAGCAGAGACACACAGAGCGGCCAGATGACTCTCCTCCAGCAGAAAAACACGTTTCACCTGCTGGATAATTCAGGAACGTCTGCAGCATCGAAGCTCAGATGGAAATGAAATCAATTCAAACTAATCACATTTCTCTGATCTCAGCTGATCCAGACTGAAAAAACATTTTGCTCTGCCAGGTTTATGAACTTCAGTTCTTCCTGCTGAGTTTCTTTTCTGCCTTTAAATATAAATAAACTCAACTTTGTGCCACTGCAGATCAAGCTCTGCCCCGGCGGCAACATCCTCTAGCCCAAGGGTGTCAAACTCAATTTCACCGAGGGCCACTTCAGCAAATTGGCCCCCCTCAACGGGCCACATTGACGGTACAGAT